TATGGCACTTGCAAAAGATCTGGGAAGGAGCATCAACACAAGAGAAAACTGCCGAAAGAGGAATCGAGGAAGAGCAGGCCAGGGTATTGGGGCATGCAGGTCTGCGAGGGATCTGGCATCAGCTCTCCGGGTCCATCATAAATCTTCTCCACGCTGTCTATCCCTAAAATAAGGGTGGGACTGTCATACAAATCAGGAACGATGTGAAGATAGGTACACTAAAGCTTGTGAAACAATCTGATACTGCATTAATTGATGAGTTTTGCAATCTCATTATGATATCTAAAAGATAAAGATTTCCTTTTCTTGGATTCTCCCAATGTTCTGAGATAAGTTGGTTCATAAATTATTGTACTTTGTGTTCAGCTTTACTTAGATCAGTTCAGTAACTGGAGCTGCTGTTAATAACAGAAATCCTATCCGGCAATTGCAGCACTGATATTCCTGATTTGCCAGAAGACGCTAGCCTGGCATGTTCGCTCTCACTTTTGCAAACTGCTCAGGAGCTCCATATAATGTCTGGATTAGATTCTCAGATTAATAGACATACTCTAAAATCCCTTTTTCCACAACAAATCACATTTCCAGTTGTTCTCTTACACGTACAAATTATGTCAATAACCTTCTCCCCACATGAACAACCCCTGATTTTTTAAACAAAATCAACAGATAAAATTAATCTACAAGAGATGTTACACTATTAAAACATATCCTGAAATCGAGAACAGTCTGGGCTCTATCACGGCATTTTGTTCTTCATTGGCACTTACGTTATTAGAGTTCTTATGTATTGCCCTGGAAATCAGCTTTGAAGTGAAATGATGAATAAAGGAAGATTTATTACTACTATCCTTATTAGAGGGATTTTAAAGTCATTAGAGACCAACAAGGCATAATAATCACATTATATTCAATCTTCCCTAGAACATCTCCTTTGATAGGCCTGCTAACTCAATTATTTAAATATATATTACAGCAGAATGCAGAGTACCTACTAGAGTTTGGGTAAGACATAATTTTAATATTACGCTTTTTTTGTTTTGTTTTCAGTTAACCATAACTTGTTCTTACAGAATCTATGGGTTTCATCGTTGGTTTCTTGTTTTTGAACCCTAGGGATTCAAATTCACAGTGAACATCTGGCTCAATGCGTCCGCTCAATTGAAAAGAACTGTGAAAGCTGGGGAGAAAATAAGCCACTTGAGCATAATCTTCACCTGCAGTGACTTTTACAAGTTCAAAAAAACACTCCGTAGAGGTGATGGTTTCTACAGTAGTCTCTAGACTTGCTTACAACCAACTACCACCAGGCTAAAAAGGAAAAAGCATCTAGAAGGTCTGAGGAACCCCGGGTTAGGACTTATCCCACCTTTCCTCTGCCCTCTAAAACTTCCATTGCTATTAAACCTCGACAGCAGAGATGGTATACAGCAGCCACAGGGTTTGAAAGACTGAGAAAAGTTTAGAAGATAACGGTACTATACTGCTTGCAAGTGGTACCCTATCTACAGGAGCATTGGGGTTACCTACCTACACAGGGGCATACCTACCCTGTGGGGTTTCACCTGTTGTTGCAACACTGAGGAGAACCTGACTTCTCCATTTGTTACTCTCAAAGCACTTAGTGCCCTCTGATCAACACTTGCCATACCACGGTAGACGGGCATTAGCAAACGTTATTGCGTGGCTGGAAAACAACAGCAATGGCAGTGGTGGTGGTGACCATCTAGTTCACTCCTCAGTAGTTGCAGCTGCTACCTGTGGAGCTGCAATTACTGCTACGGAAACAAAGTAGGAAAACTCTTGAGCACTGTCAGAGAAGATGGTGATCAGAGAAGTTGCGTGAACAACCGTGTTGTTGCCAGCGCACTTGTTTGTGGAAGAGGGTGGTATGTGTGAAAGCTAGAGGTTTTTCAGCTACCTGGCTGATGCTTCTACTACGCATTACAAAAGTCCCTAAGTGGCAAAAACCAAGCAACCTAAGGCAAAGTTGAGAGCAAAGCTGGCTAGAGAACCACACCTTGCTATTTTCATACCTTTCCTCATTCAACATGTTGTATTTTATAAAAAAGCAAGATGGAAAGTACAATCCTTGCTATTGAATCTTTCTGCCTGTAGCAAATCTGGGGATGATGTTACATGAAGAAAGGAGAGTATGAGTTTCATCTCAGACACTAGGCAAGCAACAAGAGACAACATGCTGGATGCCGTGCCTTTCATATACCAGACTCAGCGCCCAGGGAAGGGAGTACCAGCAGCGAGGTATTTTCCATTCAAAACTCTTGTCATGGTTATTGCAAGTGTTTTTAAGACTTTCTCCACTTGCAAATCATCAGAGGCAATCTGGGCTACTGCAGCCTACTGCAACTACCAAGCTCATACTTGCTGCTCCTGCGTAGTTGCTTTATGACAGATCGGTGCCCAGAAGTGAACACTGAAAGTAATACGCGTTCTAGTTTTCCCAGGATGTTATCAACACTATCACTACAGCAATCGCCTTCCACCCTACTTGTCAATCTCATGCTTTTTACCTCCTTCCCCAATTCCTCTTCTCTTACCTACTGCCTCTAATTCCCTTTCATTCTTGCTCCCCATGGATCAGCCCGGACTCTCTCTGCCATTTGCCTTGGTCTTGCTCTGCAGAGATGCTCTGCTCTTGGCCACTGGTTGCATGAGATAGATACTTTTGTCGCTTCCCAGCAATAAGCCAGGAAACGTTCGGCAGTTTTGGGCATCTCGAATTGGACCGGGGAAATATATCAACTGTTGCAGTACTTCCAACCTTGGTTGACTCTGTGGATCCTCCCATATGTCTGGGAACTTGTTCTGCCAAGATTTGTCATCTGAGGTCTTATGTTCAAATCCAGCATGACTAATCCCTTTCATTGCAGAGGGCTGAATATCACAGCCCCCAATATGGCGCTGACTTCCTCCTTGATGCACTGAAGGAATAACTCGATAGATATGTTACAAGGAATTATGTTCAGGATTACCAGCATGAAAGTTTAACAGAAAATGAAGTAGGAAGAATACTCTAAGGCTTCAGATCTAAGTGATACCAAACAACGCCATTAGACAGTACCATTCCCTGCAGGGAAGGAGGGGGAGTAGGAATAGCATTCGGTCTCCTGTGAAACAGCTCTTGGCACTCGGCAATTCCAGTAGATTGTTAGGAAGGATGATAAATATGATAAGGTTTAGTTTTCTTTCCTTTTTTTATGTTAAAAACTATATATGCTCAGGAACTATGCAAGACACTGTACACATGACGCATGTAACCTCCAAGTCCTGGGCATCCAAGCTGCTCTTTTACAGGTCCGCAACAGACCGCAATAAAGGCAGGTACCCTCAAGCTCACCTTTTCTATATGCCCAATTCCTGACCTGGAGGCTGCCCTTCAGCAGCAAGGGGATAACACAAGCCACTACGCTCACACTGGTTGCCTTTCAATAAATCACTCCAGCCACAGAATCCAATGGTAACCAAGTTCTCTGCTAGAAAAGGATGAGTCATTGAACTGGGACTTTAACAATGGCAAACTGCATATCTAAATTAAAATACGTGCCCAAAAACATTTAATTGCAGGTAGCATTTCCGGTGCCGCTAGGTTTCTGTATAAAGAGGGAAAGACTGTCAGCCCTCAAACAGATCCCAGAATAGCTAAATAAGACCGCTGACATTGCTCCAGCTCTAAAAGTGGCAACCCTTTAAATTCCCTTTGGTCATCTTGCTCCTCTGTCTCCAGAAGTTACTTTAGGTTTCTTGATATTAAGATCTTTGGCCTGAAGCATGTAGTTAAAAAAAAAAAAAACAAAACAAAAAAACACAGAGAGAAACATATTGCCAAAACTGCTCCCTTGTTAAATATCAGTTAACATATAAACTCAAATTCCTTTCATAAACTAACAGAGCTATTTGTTAGTGACTGCACTTAGAGCCCTTTTTAAATAAAAATAACGTACTGAATCATACTTCCAAAACCAACATCTCTCCGGCTGGTAAAGGACCATGCATGGGAAAAGAAGCCAGCATTCAGCCTGAGGTCTGCTGAACAACTTCCTTCTCTTTGGGTTATCATTCCCCGTATTCCTACTTTGGGATCCATTGCTGGGAACAACCATGCCCTCAGACAGGCTGGAAAAGCAAAATACTTCCCCTTAATTTCCAGGGCAAGGATTTCTTTTTTTGCTGCTAGGTATGTCATTCCTAATTCTACACAAACAACTGCTATAAAAAAACCACCAGAGAAGAAAAGCTTGGCATCCTCGGCAGCAGTGCACCTATTTTAAGAATACCGAATCTAAGCAGGCTGTGAAACAGCACCAAGCTACTTATTCGCAGTAACAAGTTTTCAGATAAATGTCTGGGCAGATCCAGAAATCTCACAGATTTCCAGAATCTGGAAAAATAATAATGAAGCTGACTATGCTTTTTATATACATGCCACGTTACCTTTCCTGGTGCACAAGCTTCTGTGATAAGGTCCTGATTAGAGGCCACCCTTCCCACACAAAAAACCTAAATGTTTTTATGCCAAATTCAGAGTTCCCCAAAATCAATGAATCCCCCCGCCCCCAGAAGACTACTTCTGGTTTCACTCTACCTGCACATCCCGTTCACTGTAGCATTTCAGAACTAATGTTTTACTGTTTTATAGGACAACGCTATTAAGGAATATCTTTTTCTTACTGAATGGACTTACTTCTGAGAGAGCGTCAATTATTTTGGCTCCTACTGACAAATACCTATATAAGCGTGAGGGGCTCTGTGCGACTGGTTGTTTTTAGAACTATTTTAGGATGTGAAGAGTTAAAGCCAGCGCAAGATAATTTTCTGCTCCGGATTTCACCCTGACCTCTGTCTCAACTGTTGTGGTACTATCTTTTGGGAAGGGCGGTAACTGCACTATCATCGGGATTTATTTTATTTTTAAGACTCGCAAATATACCTTGCAGAACATTCACACTGTTGAAGAAAGATTAAAATCCTGCAGCACTTACCCCCAAACACATCTCCGTTCTGGTAGTTTTTGCCTTTCTGAGTTTCCTCTTCGTTTTGAACAGTAGAAACATGCTTGGCTGACGCGCAGCCCATAGCTTCATTCAGACAGCGCCAGCCGGACCCAACCGCAAACCATGTCTAGAGCCGCGCGCTCATCGTCTTTCAAATAATCCACCTTCCCGCTGGGCTGTCGAGATGCTTTTACCTAAGGACAGCAAGACAGAGGGAAAACTATTTAGCTGCGTGCGTCGACAAAAGGTAACCGCTAAACATAGCGCTTTGGGAAAGCAAAGGATGAGATATGTGAGGAGGAGGACGAGAGCGCAGACTGTCGCCATCCTTTTATATTTTGAAAAATAATTCAGTAAGCATCGATCCAGTATGATATAGGTAGAGCCAAGCCTGCCTTGGGACAGGAGCACAGTAGTTGAACTCAAAGTCTCTTCTTTAAACTGTGGCTTGAAGAAAACAGCACATGGACATCTGTTTCCCACCCATTTGTCTACTCCTGGAGAATGCATTTTTTTTGGGGGGGAGGGGGTAAGGAACCAGCAATATCCACTTCTCGTGCCCCTTTTAACAGTTTGCCCATCAGCCAGATTTCTTAGTTAGCATTTGAGTGATTAAGGTCTGCCAATTGCAAGTGTTCAGACAAAAAACAAACAAATAAAATAAATAAATCAATTAAAGCTCTTATGCCGAGAGATGGGAAAGTGAACAGCAAGCTGCATTGTTTTTTGTCCTACGAGTTCATTGCTCTACTGGATCCAAAAGACCTTCACCACTCCAAAACGCAACTATCTACGTTTTAAGAAGTTATAACGCTCCCTAAATCACCCAGAATCACAGAACGGTTGAGGTTGGAAGGACCCTGGGGAGTTCATCTAGTCCAACCCCCCTTCATTTCACACAAAATGAAAGAGGGAAGGAAAAGCTAGTTTATAGCTATGCTGCCGTCCCAATAAACACAATGATTAAAACCACAAACTGTTTAAGGACTAAACGCTTCCCCACTCAAACGGAAACAACTTCAAAGCTGGGTGAGATGCTGGCTTGCCCTTCAACCAGCCAAACCTTTTGCTGGCAAAAAGATGGAGGAGGAGGCCTGGAGGAAAAGGAGAGCTTTTGGCAAGCTGTTTAGCTCAGCTATAACGTAAGATGATACTCTAAACACATATAATTTCTTTTGGATATTTGGACTTTTGGGATGCTTAAGCGCACTAACCAGGAACAATGCACCAGGACGGGGGCTTTGGGGCCATCACAGCAGCCCACGGGATTTCCCCGGCTGCCCACAAAATCACAGGAATGCGCACGTGCCAACTCGAGCCAGGAGCAATTCCCATTCCCCTATTTTGGCCACCACCTCCCAGATAAGCATCTTTGTTGCTGAACACAGGGAAGGCGAGGACTCGGGATGCAAAGCCACTTCGCACCTCCATTCGGAGATGAGTTTCCATCTTCCAGCCCACTCCACGTGGAAAACAGAAAAGTGCTTTCTTCCATTTAATGAAGGCTTTATGGCCTTTCATTCATACATACATATACATAGGTGTATATATATATATGTATCTTTATATATTTATGTATACATACACACACACACACACTTAAGTCCTGCTCTAAACAGCTGACCCTGCCAGCCATACCCCTACATGCATTTTTTTAATATTCAGTACATCCCCCCATATGCTTTCACCTTTTTTCCTATATATGCACACTTAAGCATGAATTTCTAATCATTCCATCCGTCTTTTCTCTTAGCTCCAGCTACTCACCCATAAAATGGTGAATTTTACCAATCTTAATAGGTATTAACCCTGTTAATGGCAGAGAGAGAGAGCAGACCCCCCTCGAGCAGCCCTCCTCCAGCACAGGATATTCGGTTTAATCCTACCTATAAGGTAGGATTTTTTCCAAGAAAATCTAGGCTGTGCAGGAAAAGGCAGTCCTAGACTAGGCAGGCTTTCTGCTTCCTCAGTCAATCGCCAAGGCTATTCTTGAAACCCCTTTAATCAGGCTGCTTGTCCGGTTGCATAGACAAAGCCATATCCTCACTAAGACTCAAGTTTGCTATTGGTATGTTTAAGCAGTCAATACAAAAAGCGGGTCATTCGAATCACACTGCCACGCTTTGCAACTATTACGATACGGTCATTTTATTTAAACTGCAGTAGTCGATCTTACGTTTTTGCAAAACGGTGAGAATCATGGCTGACAACGTTTTGCTTCTAAACATGTCCAAATAGCATGACAGCCCGAATTAAGATAAAAGGTGTTCCTCTGGCTGTGGAAGGGTGAAAAAGAGGATCCATAAAGATTTAAAGCATTCACCATGCTTTGCTTGTTCAGGATATGGGTCAAGATACACAGAGGTGTGGGGAATGGAGGAGAAAGAGCGGACCGGGAAGGGGAATCGCTAAGTGGGCTGTAAATGAGATGCATGGAATGCTAATTTTCTTCAAGGAGGCAAATTTGCTTAAAGATAACAGCTTTTAGTAGACCAGCTAATAGTGATCACAGGGAAAAATGATCATGTTTTTAGCCCTGGAATCCCCCTTTCAGGTTTCAACCAACAAGAGCAACCTCCAGGTAAGTCGAGGCTGAAAACAGTAACTTTGATTTCTCGTTTGGAGGTAATCAATCAGAGAATCCGAAGGAAAAGGATATGGCCATCACAACCTTGCTTTTGCAAAAGGCATATAAGGGAAAATAATGAACCACCACACCAAAAAAGGTTTTGCCTTGACCATTGTTTAGTATCCCTGCGCAGGTACGAGTCCAGGAAGGTGATGGTCCTGTCCTCCACGACCAGGGTATTGGAGAAGCAATCTAGAGCTGAGATACAAAACAAAAGTACAGAGGCATAAAGCCCTTTGGGGAAGGGAAAAACAAAAAACAATACGTGCACACGCGCACCCGAACCCAAAACTTTCCTTTGGTGTTTTGGTAGTACACACCACCCTAACTAATAGGTCAATGTTTGAAGGCACTCTGTGCTTAAAGGAAACAAACAGGAATACTAAAACTGGAAGTTTTCTTCTTTTAGATTAAAAAGCAGTAATCCCAACAAAACCACAAGGATTAACTATTTCTTAACTATACTTGGAAAGCTTAGGCAATCATTCTCAATGTCAAGAATTTAGGCTAGCAAAGCTTCTCCGAGAATAAGCCCACCGAGATAAGTCCACCAACACACGTTCCCAGGTGCAGATCTTTAGTAATCTTGGACTGCCATTGGTATACTGTAGTGAGACAAATGCCACTGTGACATGGATACCTAACATGACACAGAAGTAGTACAGGATGTTTACAGGAAAAAAAAAAAAAACATTCATTTTACAACACGGATAAGATCTGAGAGACGCGACACCTTGACACTCTCAAGTCTTACACTGCCCTCACTCTTGGGGAAACCCTTCTGGCCTCAGAGCACTGAAGCCCACTGTGACGGGGCTCAGATATTTATCCGAAAGTGGTCCCGATGCCGGGCCTAGCTCAGCACACGTTTGGAAGATGTGAAGCGCGGCGCTTCGGACGGAAGCAGAACAACGCAACTGCTCTTGCCTCCTCTCCCACTTTTTCCACAAATAAAATTTTCCCTTTTGTCTTCCCAAGCATTTGGGGGGGCATACAGATTTCAGAGGCCAAAAATAAAAGGAATAAGAAAACCTCAACCCATTTGCAGCTCGTGTTCACCACCCACCATCATTAATTATCGAGATTTGAGAGGCAATTTGCAAGCTCCAGTCTGCAAAACGTTAGTGTGAAAAAGCTCTTAGGCAGATCAAAAGCACGTACGCCACCCCCAAATAAAATGTGGCAGTTAAGACGAACATCTTACGTATAGGTCAACAGAAAAAAAGAGTATGCACGGCGTTAGATGGAGTACTTTATTACCCCCAAGTTTCTCTGGAGCTCATTCAAGAAGGGGAGCTCAATTATTAGAATAGAGATTGTCACTCAAACCTTCAATTCCTTTTTTTTTTTTTTTGTTTTTGGACCATGGCTAAATCTTGCCTTTTTTCTTCTATCAGCTCTTTCACACTTCATTAATTCATTCTTCATCTGCTCACCCCTTTTTTTCCCTAAAGTCACGTACATGGCTGCATCCTTGACAAAACACAATTCGCTTCCACGGCCGAAAACTCAACAGTTAGCACCAAATGGAGGAGCTCCAAAGTTCTGCCACAAATGAATGTTAATTTTACTACAAGCACAGGTATATTTGTTTTCATCTTTACTGCATTGAGATAACCAAACTTTCACCTTCTTCAGGTTGCACATACACCTAAAGTTTCCTTCCGTGTTGACCACACAGGAAATCAGGTTAAAATTTCACAAAGCTGAAGAGATCAAAGCAATAAGCTTTGCAAAACCACAAAGAAAAAAAAATGCATGGGCTTTTCCTATAAAACAGCCTAGTCCAAGCAGAACCCAAGCCTTTTACTTACTACTGTTAATTATATTTTATTTCCTAAAAGAAATAGGCCTGTTTGACTTTTATCTGACTTTTTTCCCCTAGAAGAAAGTAGGTTATGAATTTGCACTCCATGAGGAACCTCAGAAGTTTGCACCTGTGAGTTCCCCACGATGGTATCCCTCTTCCTCAGTTACCCTTGATTATCCGTCCCAGAAAAGCTGGGATTTTGTTCTTAAACTGACAAACCAGCATTTTGGAGCCGGAAAGACTCAAAGACGCAACTTTTGCCTTTGAAGTCCACCAACGGCCTAAGGGGAGGAAAAGAAACCCCACCTACTCATAAGCTCTCTTCTTCCTCCTTCAATTATTCAGGCTCGCTTTGCTGGTGGAGACCATAACGTGATATTGAAAATTAACCCACTGAACTGCTAAATGAGATAGGAAAAGTTACAACAGAATCAGTGTGGCAGATACTACTGCAGATTTTTTTTTTTTTTGGAACAGAAGAAAAAAGACTAAAAAAGCAGAGGCAGTGATATTATTCATTTGGAAACAAATTACCAAACACCGTGTTAACGGCAATTGAAGAAAGTCTGGGGAAATATCTCACAGCGGCACCAAGGGGACATGGAAAAGTCAGAGTGAGCACTCTGCTCCTTTGAATGCTTAGGCAAAATATGTTTATATATCCTTATATTAACAGCTGAGAAATTACGCATTTTCCTCCATTCTGTGAACTCTGTTTGTCTCCATGATGGAAAATTCCCATATTTATTGCCACA